TACAGCATTATTTATTAATAGTCCAACTATGTAACGTTCCCATATTATGACATACTGAAATGCCAAAATTACAAAAACAAAAATCTGTCCCGACAAAAAGGCAACCAATGACCTTCAACAATAAACAATCTCGGTGTAATAATGAAGAACAGGGTTCAGATTTAGACAGAGTTTCCAGTTTTGTAAGGCTGTGCTTTATGTTTGTTTTGTGTTTTTTTGTAGGCTTATAATAATATGTCAAACTCCACGAACTATCAGTAAATCTTTCTTCAAATAAAATGTAATAATCCTGCAAATATTTTATAACAGCAAGCGTTTATAATTTAATTGGCACAACATGCAATTACCTCTCTAGATGTATCACAGATTTGTACTACAAACTACAAACAACTGCAGTATTGTTGGTTTCCTTTCCTACTTCATAACTGTCCCGATATTTTAAAAGAGGTGTTTCGACTTCCTGTTGTTGATCAGATCTTTACTGAGGATCTGTGTTGTTCCTGATGATTTTGTGTTGAATGAATTTGGGTTCTTACCTTCATTACTCTTCGTTTGGTCACTTGAGAAGTGTATGTAACCTTCCTATATACTAATACTGTAAACTGCTCGCTGTTCTGTTAGACTAGATCGTCTAAAACTGGCATTGACTTCTTGATTGTCCATGAAACCTTCAATCGATAGTTCAATCAATCGTTTCGTTCTTTTAATGAATCTAGAGCTTCTTTTTCAGTCACTCGTTTACTAAGTATTTGCTCATCTTACTAAGAGATGGTAGAGGCGTTGATGTGTTGACGGCTTACTGACGACAGAGACGGGGAGAAGGGGAGGAGAGGGAGAGGGGGGAGGAGGGGGAGAGGGAGAGACGGGGAGAGAGTGAGATATCGAACATCGTGCTAAATTCGATTGATCTTATGATAATGTTATGTTTTATATGCCTGTCTAAGGGTTTAAATGTATGGGAACGTGTTTTTGCGACGCGTTAAACCAACAAATCAATGTAAAAATATTTACTTGGATTGATTTTCGTCGAAGTTGGGTTAACTTACGGGAACACGGTCCCCAATAAACGTCCCACTTGTTTACAGGCGTCTGGATCGTCCGGTGCGAGGCTACGCACAAATTATACGTCTCGCCTTTACCTTTCAGGACGTCCTCCCTTTGTCTGGTCATTTAATTAATAAGGACACGCATCCTTCGTGACCAAACACAGGAAAATATTTTCCCAAACAAAATGGAGCTGGCGCTAATCTGCATTTGAAACGAATCGGTCTCTATAAATCAACTGTCAAGATTGTCGAGTCGGAGGAAACGATGAGTGTTGAGATTCATGGGTCGCTCGTTTATATTGTCGAAAGAGAAATTTATCGCTGGGGAATTTTGTAATAGAGGGTACGAAAATATCCGTCGGTGTAACGTCTACATTCAATGCATTTCTTTTAACTAAAATAAGTGCAAATTTGCAGATACAATCTTAACAATATTAAAAATATTAGAAAAATTGTAAAGTAAATATAAATTGGAATTGAATGGGTTCTATTTTTAATTTGGATAATCGGGGGTATATGGAGACGCAGACTCGGAAAGTGGACACTACAGCACTACACTACACCTGGGCAGAGCATTCGGCAGGTCTAGTTGCTCCACGAACTTATAATCAGATCCCTGATTGCTATTGGGTATGGATATGATTCGCGAAGCATGACTCAAACTATTCAATGCACTCATACCCTATCTGGATTGGTCTTTGCTTTCTCCCCGACATAGTCAAGTATTATTTGGTATAGCCGCTTTTTGGTTTGGACAGCTTATAAAAGCTTTCTAGGTCACCATCAGTTTTCCTTTCCATTCCATTGTTTTAAAAATTATTTCCAGGAGTTTTCCTTAATCAGCTCTGGTTTACTTTTGGTTGTTGACTGACACGTCCACGAGGGCACGGTTACATTGCAGTGCTAGTTCTGACGTCAAACGTGGCATATGAAGAACTAGAACCACTTGTCTGCGCTCTCTATAGTTGCATGTAGTATTACCGGCAACTTACAGCCTGGTTGTTTGTTTGGTGATATAGTTGGTTACACACAACAAACCAACGACAGTATTTTATTATATTTTATAGAAATAGTTTTTCATTACGTAGCCATGATGATTGAGCAGTATAATCTGTTATTCTAATTGGGTTTTATTACAAAAAAATTATTGGGTATAAACAACAATACACTAACATTCTTCGACTCATGAATAAATTCAACATTTTGTAAGGAGGCATCGAAAGATGATCGAAAAACAGCAGCGGATACTATTGAACAAAATACATCGGATGAGATATTAATCAAGCGACGAGTTCGACAGGGTTGCGTTTAGTCCCCATTGTTGTTCAATCTTTATTCAAAAGTCATATTTGGAGAAGCACTGGATGGAATTAACGACGGAATAAAGATGAATGACGTATAAGATCCGACATAAGTCTTGAAAGTCTTGCCACTTGATACTCAAACAGCAAAGAGATTGGAACACTTTAGAGATGTATATATACAGAATAATACTGCTGATATAAAAACGGACGAAATTATTTCTGCTTTGGTTAAATAAAATAATAATTGAATATTTCGACTTGAGTCTAAGGAGCCAGTAAAATAACATCGCCCAAAAATGCTAACGGGGTCATATTTTAATTTCGACCAAGGAACACCGGCAATAAAAGATAATAAGGTGAAATTGCGTGATGTAAAACATAACACTCTGTTGGTTTCATGTATTAGATATATAGGGATTGACAAGTTAAGACAGAATAAAAATGACACTGGCATTTGGTGGAAAACTTTAAAATATTAAGTTGCGAAGATTAAGAAGAACTATAAGGATGTAATACTACAAATATTGATGACACATAACAATTTCTAATAGATATTTTATTGAGTGCTTGCATTTATAATTTCTAGGAGACCATGGCCACCATGAGCATGTACATACATTTTCCCGGTCTTTTTTATTTGTAGAGGCGACAGAACAAGTGTGACACTTTTTTTAACAATTTTGTTCATTTTTACTAGATTTGTTTAAAACTTTCGATACATTGAACACTGGGTAAGAAAACTTGATTATTTTGGATTTGATTCAAATTTAACAACTCAAAATCTAGTTAGCGTAACATTATTAGGGAAGTGGCCCAAGGAAGCATATGCACTGCTATCAACCTAAGCAAGTCAAAATTGACTTAACGCGTTGAAAGAAATCATCTTAAAACAGAAGTTGGCTTCTATTGGTAGACGAATTACTCACTCTGCCAGATATCTAATTTTTGAATGCCATTAAAAACTGTCAAAACTGTCCTAAATATCAAAAACATTACTAAGTTTGTACGAATACATGTTATAAAACTTGAACGGGTTTGCTCATTATTACAGGCAATCACATGTACGTTCAAAAGTAACAGGATTCTGAATACCTGATACTTTCGCTGTCACTAGGACAAATAAACTTTCAGATGGGGATCGATAACTAGTAGTATGGTACCATGTTTGTGAGAGCAAGAAGAAAATTGCGAGTATTCCTTCAACTTTGTCGTTGAAACTTTCTAAAGGGTTCAAAAAACCACACGAAAGGCAACAACAGTATAAAATTGTAAGGCGTAGTATTGTACTTATGTTTATTGTCAAGTAAGCAGACGGAGAGGTAAACTTATTGAAATATGAAATATGTTCCAATATGACTGCAGTTTGACAATCAACAACATGCATAAGGATAAACGCACCCCCATAAGGTTTCCAAAGAGGAGTACAGCAATATAATACTTAAAAAAAGAAATAAATACCTTAGACAAAAAACTCAAAGCAGAAAATCACTTTTTAGAGATGCCCCACTTTTAAAATGATAGAGGTAGAAGCACTCTTGAAAAGGGAATAAAGATAAATTTCTCTTCACTCCAACGTCTATAGGAGCATGGTGACTAAGATTTAAAATTAAACTTATATTATATTAATCTTATCTATATAAAAGTTTATTTAATTGATCTTGTAATAATTAGTATCTAACGTATCTGTCCCCCTTTCTCTTTGCGTTTTAGGTTTTTGCATTCCATTTTGTGTTTGATCTTCATTGCCTTTTTTGCACCAAAATAATGAGTAAGAAGTAGTTTTGGTATTTTATTTCTATGCATTCTCTGGACGTGTCTCACCCATCTTAATGTTTTAAGTTAAAAAAAATCTTTTAATACCTTATTTCACCCTCTTTCTGCTGTAAATCCTTATGGAGCACTTTTTTCTGCCAGACTGTTATTATTATTAATATTTTCTATTTATTGTTAAATAATTTAATGTTTTTTAAATATGCCAATGTTCCTGCTTCAAGTTGTCTTCAAAAATCGGTGTAATTTTATTTTTGTTGCATTTGTCAATTAAAACTTAGTTCACATCTATCACACTTAGGAGTAGGTTCACTCTTAAGGAGATGTTTATGATTAAGGGTTGGGTATCGTGTAGATACTAAAAAGGCTCGTACTGCTCCTAGTGTGGGTTCTGTGGATTTATATTTTGCTGTTTTGTTATTGTATTTCGAAGTAAGCATGTATATCGTATATTTTTCTACTTTCTCGACTCTGTGGGTTTTATTTCTATTTGCTACAATTGTCAGTTATTACTTTATAATTATAATCATGTATAATTATAATCGCCTACGTATACTATAGCCCTACCACATTACTTTAATTCCTAAAGTGATCTTTCTATTGCATGCAAATTAGTGTGACACGCAAAACAGTCACTGCAATTGGTTTGTACTTTACGTTATAACACTGTTTAATGATACTAGTCATTACAAATTTACATTTTATTATTTTCTGGCATTATAAAACGAAATCTATTAATTGCATAGCCTTTCTGATGTAATATCAATTATTATTACGGTTCACATAGAATCCTCAACGAATTATGCGGAAAGAAGACACGGAACAAAATTCATTTTTCCCGAAGACCCGATCTCTGCTACCGTCCTTTTTTTTCTTTCAGAGGACGAGCACATCACTTTGGGGCGAGTGGATGGGCGTAATGCACGGGGACGAAATTGAATACGTGTTTGGCCACCCTCTGAATATGTCGTTACAATTCAACTCGAGAGAAAGAGAGCTGAGCCTCAAGATTATGCAGGCCTTCGCCAGATTCGCCGCTACAGGGTGAGAATATTTATTTACATTATAAATAAAAATACTATATAATAATATATGCTTATTCACTAGACAATGATAATTAAAAAAATAAACAACTGAAAATTCTACTTGAAACCTTTTAAGTTGTGTAGGATCACATTTCATATATATTAATAAATGTTTACAAAAATTTTAATATATAAATACACAAAATATAAATATAAATACACAAAATGAAATATAATTGAATCTATAAAATACACAGTTTAATCTAGATAATTTAACAATTTAACAACAAATTTAACATTGAAAACAAACAATCCCTATATGTAAATCTTAATATTTAATTTTTTTTTCTAATATTTTTCTTACCTTTTATTCTCCATGCATTTACGTATTTTGATTGTTTATTGAGATAATCAGCTGTAGAGAAGGGTAATTTCCATTTTTTTGAAAGGCGATTTTAAGAAAGATTTATTTAAAATCCCATATTGTAAACGAGACTGCTCAAATGCACGATGAAGTGTCAAAATTTTGTGTTTATTTAAAATATTTCTAAAATTGTTTGTAAATCAGTAGCATTAGGTTGTTTGCTACTGTTTGTAAGTGAATACTTCATTTTAATTGTGTATCACTAAGAATTTTATTTCTTCTTTCGACTTTATTAAATAGTGATTGTTTATTGTTTATATATCTGAAAGTGACATGTGCTTAAAGCAGCTCAAGTGATTACTGAAGTCATTTTCCACTTTGATTTTTATATATTTATTTATCTAAAGAATAAATAATATTGGTCCCCCTAGGAAACGTCACAGATAATGTGTTCTTTGCGTAACATAACTTTTAAATGGTTTGCAAGCTATTCCGAGCAAGCCAGACTCCAAGCCATCCAACTCCACATGATGATAAACTGTGTCAAAGGCATTGGAAATATTGACTTCCCAGTAAGCTGTAAATTTGTGAAGTTGTATTTTCTGTAATCTTACCTTGCCTGAACCATATTGATTTTTATTTTGTTTTTCTATACTGGAACTTGACTAATTTCTCTTTAAGGACATTTTCAAACATTTTTGCTGTTACTTACAAATGACATTGATCAATAGTTTATATTGCCATTTAAAATTTTTAAATTCGAACTGAAAGCTTGGCTGCCTAAACGAACAAGTATTAAGACAAGTGGTAGAAGTAAATTAAAACAATAATATCTTTGACTAGTAACTTATCCAATTATTAATATTTAAAGTCATTCAAATTACTAGATGCCTGATTTTTCAAAGAAACTTCCATAGGCTACTGTAATATTTTTTAAAATACTTCTGGATTCCTCCTGCGTCGTTTTTGCTGAACCGAACTTGCTGACGTTTCGCCAATCATCCTGTTGGCTTCTTCAGAGCTTGACTGAAACTGGCGCGCATTTTACTCTGTACCTGCTTATATGCTTTCTACAGCTTGAAAGAATTTGAAGCGTACCTGAGAGCATCGTAAATAACGTTAAAAGTTTACCGAGATTTTTCTAATGTATACCCTCTTTTATTTTAAATTACATTAACTTGTTTGTCATATTTGTTATATAAATATATACTCGTATTCGTTCTATAAATTACTTAAGATTATGATATACATTGTTTTTACAATGAAACTTGTAATTTATTATTTGTATTTATTGACGAAACATCCATTGTACCATCTGGTTTTGTGAATAAATAATCTATCTATCTATCTATCTATCTATCTATCTATCTACAGGGTGCTTCAAAAAAATGTATACACACTTTGAACTTCCATAGAAAATTTATTTACCGTTCTACAAAGTTAAATTTCAGGAAAGTAGAAAGCTGAAAGTCCAATGTAAATGAAACATAAATAACAAATGTTAATACTGTTCAAATTGGTGACCTGCAGCATCAATACAATTCTGAGTACGAGTCACCACTGATTCTGTACATCGTATCAAAACGTCCAATGAGATTTCTCTACACACTGCTTGAATCTCATTCCAAAGAATGTCTAGGTTACGTGGTTTACGTTTGTACACCTCATCTTTTACTGTGCCCTACAAGAAGAAATCCAGTGGTGTAAGGTCTGGAGAGCGTGCTGGAAACTCGATTGGCAGCCTGCGTCCTATCCACCGGCCCGACAAATTTTGATCCAGGTAAGCTCGTACGTCCCTGTGATAGTGCGGCGGAGCACCATCTTGTTGAAAATAAAAATCATCATTACCGTATAATGCACGAATGGCTGGAAATATGCAATCAGCAAGCATTGTTAGTACCAGTTACAGTGCCTTCAAATCGAAAAGGTCCAATGAGTCCCCTTGAAGACAAACCGCACCACACATTTACACCAGGCAAATTTACAGCTTTTTCAATTATAATGTGAGGATTTTCTTCACCCCAGTAAACACAATTGTGCCTATTGACAGTTCCATTAAGTTTGAATTGGGCTTCATCCGACCAAATGATGCTACCCATAAATCCCGGTTCACGTATCACCATCTCCTGAATCCATTCACAAAATTGCAACCTTCGATCTGGATCGTCGTCATTTAGCTGTTGAACCAGCCTTGGAATGTAAACACGATACTTGCCTCTCTTCAAAATGCGTAGCACGCTGCTAGCACTTACATCACTTTCACGTGCCCCTTGCCTTGAAGATTTGTTAGGAGAGCGTTGAAACAGTTCCAAGACTGCCGTTGATGACTCATCACTTGTAGCTGTCCGAGGCCGACCTGAATGACCTTTATGCACATCACACACTGTTCCATGAACTTCGAATTTGTCTCGTATACGTGTAATTGTTAATCTTGAAGGTGGTTCTGTATCATACTCCCTTCTCCACTGTCTTTGAACTTCATTTCCATTCTCAAAATTCCAGTACCACTTAATAACCTGCTTACGTTCTTCAAAACTCAAACGTACGTTCCCCATGTTGATATTACAAATTCCAACTGATAATATAACATAGAGGGACGATTATGCTGGCACCTGGCGAAGAAATATAACATTAGCCTTGTAGAGCGGGAAAACAACAATAGTTTAAAGTGTGTATACATTTTTTTGAAGCACCCTGTATATTGTTTGAGGGCGGCGGATATATTGGTGAGTCGCGGCTAAGATTGTTAGGTTGCTTATAGATTTCTATAGACTGTCGGATATATCGTTGGTATGAGAATTCATTACATGCAAGAATTTTAGTTTCATCGACTAAAATTGTATGTCCGGTTTCGTGATTGTGTTCGGCAACAGCTGATGAGTTCTTTTAACTTAGTCGTAAGGCTCTTTCGTGTCCTTTGATCCTAGAAGATATTTTTCGTCCGGTTTCTCCAATGTATTCTTTGCCGCATATGCATGGAATGCTGTAAACTCCTGGCATCTCAAATGGAATTTTATCTTTGACGGACCGAAGATGTTGAGAGATTTTTGGACACGTGGTAAATCTGGTTTTGACGTTATATATGTTTAGAACTTTTGATATGTGGTCAGTAATATTTTGAATGTAAGGAAAGACCATAGAGGCAAGTTTAGGATTGCTTTCGGCCTCATTGCTATTGGAAGGTTGTGGTGAAGTGTATTTTTTATTCGAACGCTTAATATCTTTAAAGTGGAAATTAATAGAAAGAAGAGCAGAGGTTAGGTGTTTTAATTCTGATTTCAGTGACTCGGGTTGAGACAGTTTTACGGCTCTGTAAACAAGAGAGTTGATAACCGATGATTTTTGGGCCGGATGGTGAAGTGACCATATATTAAGATATCGGTCTGTGTGCGTAGGTTTTCTGTAAACGCAATGAGCCAATATTAGGTCTGATTTTCTATTGATATAGATATCTAAGAACTGGAGATTGTTATTAGTTTCTATTTCAATGGTAAAACGTATGTTAGGGTGTATAGAGTTTAAAGTCTAAGCAAATCTACTAGGGTTTCTTGACCATAATTTTGGTTTTAGATGAATGGTATCTAGAGCTTTCTTCTCTAAGTGGAGAATGTTCCCGACGTTTGTTCATAAATTTGACCGTTATAAGCAAAATATGTTCCAGGCAAGCATTTTTCGATTAAGGTGAGAAGGTTTGCTTCCAGATTCGCGGATTTTAATATATCTGATATGAAGTTGAGAGTTTCAGGAATAGGAACTTTGGTAAAGAGGGATCCTACATCGAACCTAACTAGAATATCTTGTGTATCTAATGTAATGCTTTTTAATTGTTCAATGAAGTGAAAGGAATTAAGTACGAAACTGCCAGTTTTCCCTGTAAGGAGTTTTAATAAGGAATGGTGCTGACAATAGGTCGAAGGAGTAATCCTGGTTTGTGGATCTTTGACATGTACAGAGTAAAATGCGAGATAGTTTCAGTTAACCTCTGAAGCAGCCAATAGGATGATTGGCGAAACGTCAGCAAGTTCGACTCACCAAAAACATACGCAGGAGGAATCCAGAAGTTTTGTGAAAAGTATTAGTTGCCTGACTGATTTGTTGACTGCTTTTTCTTGTAAGTCTGCAGGTCTATAGATACATGTGTTTTTACTTAATCTTCACCTGACTGAAATAAATCTAAAACGTTGATTACCAAAATAGAATCAATATTGACCCATTCTTTTTTATTGTTTAAATATACATATTTTTGTTATTATTAAAATTATTTGTGAGTTTATAAATAAATAAGGGTTTACTCTAAATTCTATTTAGCTTCTTTATTAAAAAAACATTTTTATATATATTCCTTCAAATATTCTCCATTAGGTGGAACCTAGAACCAAAAAATTCGTTGCGTTACATGTAACTCTAATTCTTATAATATGTATGAACCTTAAGATCCCTTTCCCATTTCTCTTCCTGCAGTTTTTTTAGCTGCAGGAAGAGAAAACCCGCACCATCATCTTCAATTTTCTTTGTTTTTCTTTCAATATGTGACTTGGCAAGACCCATCTCAATATCTTGAATAGTTTTCTTCGATATGTTATGAAAGAATTACGATGCTATTCTGGACATTTTGTTATAAAGAAAACAAATTCATTATAACATGCCATGTCAAT